ATCCATATGAGTAAGGCTGATTTTACTCTGATACTGCAGCTCTTTCCCAGTCCTACTTTGAGAGCTTTCTAAGCTAAGTGACTCATCTTCCTCCTCTGTATTGGACAATGTTTCTGGACTATTCATAAAGTTGTGCAGTTGTGTATCAGACAGTGTTTCTCAGCTATTCATGAGGTTTTCCCTGGCCAATTCTTTGAGAAGTGAATGGCTTCCTCCTTCTTCCTAGTTTGTCTCAGTCTGCAAGCTGGGCTGATACCTGTGCAACAGGTGCACCCCACTGGGTTTGAAACACCAGTGGCACAGCATCAAGACTTACAGAAACACATCACCACAGTAGGACAAACCAACAGACAAGTTTGTCTCCCTTAGCTGTTGGAAACCCCTCCAACCATATATCCTGTAGCCTCATATACATGGGAAAGCTGGACAATGAAAAAGGAAGATCAAAGAATAATTGATCCTTTGAGATATAGTGTTGGTGAAGAATATTGAATATACCATGGATTGCCCCAAGAACAAACAAATCTGTCTTGGAAGAACTACCACCAGAATGTTTCTTAGAAGCCAGATTGACAAGACTTCATTTCATGTACTTTGGATTTGTTATCAGGAAAGACCAGTCCTTGGAGAAGGACATCACGGTTGGTAAAGCAGAGGTTCACCAAAAAGGGGAAGACCATCAATGAGATGGCAATTGTTGTGACTACAATATTAGACTCAAACTTAGCAACAATTGTGTGGATGGTACAGGACTGAGCAATGTTTCTTTCTGTTGTACATAGGGTAGCTTTTGTTGTTGTTGTTGTTGTTGTTGTTGTTGTTATGTGCCATCAAGTCGGACCCGATTCATAGTGACCCCTGATATTACTATGGAAGTAGATTGCCCAATCTTCCTTCCAAGGAGTGGCTGGTGGGTTTTAACTGCCAGCCTTCTGATTATTAATCAAGTGCCTTAGGCACTATGCTACCAGAGCGCAAACTCAACAGCACCTAACAGCACTCTTTATGGGAGCAGATCACCAGATCTTTCTCCTGTGGAGCTGCTGGGTGAGTTCTCGTCATCAACCTTTCCATTAGCAGCCAAACACTTAATTTTTGCACCACTATGTCTCCTAATAGTAGTGGTATTATAGTAGTGGTATTATACTACTATACTACTAACAAGTTTATTATCTTAAACCTAGGAGGAGTCTGGTGGCGTAGTGCCTAAGGCATTTGACTGCTAACCAGAAGGCTTGTGGTTCAAACCCACCAGCCACTCCTCAGAAGGAAGATGGGGCAATCTGCTACTATAGTGATACTGCCTCAGAAACCCAAGGATGGGTGGCTATGAAATGGATCCTACTCAACGGCAGTTAGTTTGGTTTTTTTGGTTTTATATTACTGTGGGAAGTCCTGACAGAGCAGAGATTTCAAGACTTTCCTATCACTCATATCACTTATTGTCTTGGATTGTGTAACTGTATCACCATTTTTATCTTTATTTTCTGAATAAGATTGTAAAGCTTTGGTCTTATTTGCAGATATGTTATGTTGTATAGTTCTGTGGAAACTCTCTTTGCCCTTCGCACACAGGGGACATTCAAGAAGTACCTGTTAAGTCAATAATTGGAAACCCCAGTGAGTCATTTATACTTAAAAGGAAAGACATATTTTTATCTAAAGAAATGCCTTTAAATGATAAATTTACATAATGAAAAATACAGAACTTTCTGTTTCTTGGTAGTAGGATTTGAGAATCCACCATGTTATATCCATTACAAACTAAAAAAAAAAAAAAAAAAGTTTTGGCAAGCAATAAACATAGACCAGCACACAGCAGTATCACAATATCTCAGTCTAGATCCTAGTTTTACCATGTCTCTCTCTCTTCTTCAAAACATGGAAGCTGAGCAGAGCGCCTGTTTCCTGCTTCTCTCCCTTTGCTCACTCCTTCCCTGCCACACCAGACTCTTTGGCTCTTCCACTTACCAGGCATCCCTCTGCTTAGAACATTGTACATTTATCATAGTGGCTAAGACACTTGCCTGCTAACCAGATGGCTGGCGGTTCAAACCCACCAGCCACTCCTCGGAAGAAAGGTTGGGCAATCCTACTTCCGTAGCGATACTGCCTCGGAAACCCAAGGAGGGGTCGCTATGAGTCGGGTTTGACTCAAAAAAAAAACTCACAAATTCCCTCTGTTTTATAGGTGAGGAAATTCAGGTTTAGAGAACTTGCATGACCAACCTGAAAATATTGCTGTCACAGACCTCCCAACCAGGTCTATTCTGACTCCAAATCTTCTGACCTGTGCTTCCTATGCTAGTTTAATCTCTGTATCTTTGTCAGTTACAGGAAAAACAGAAGGGAACATATTCTGAGCTAAAACACTCTTGCAAAATATCCCGCCTAAATTCTTGTTGTTGTTGTTGTTGTTATGTGCCATCAAGTCGGACCCGAATCATAGCGACCCCTCCTTGGGTTTCCGAGGCAGTGTCACTATGGAAGTAGATTGCCCCATTTTCCTTCCAAGGAGTGGCTGGTGGGTTTGAACCATCAGCCTTCTGGTTAGCGGTCAAATACCTTAGGCACTATGCTACCAGAGCTCCCACCTAAATTCTTAGATAATGAAAATTAGAAAGCTAATAATTTTTAACTGAGTAATCTACGGTGTTGTTGTCATGTGCTGTCGAGTTGGACCCGACTCATAGTGACCCCTCCTTGGGTTTCCAATGCAGTATCACTACGGAAATAGATAGCCCCATCTTCCTTCTTGGGTTTCCAATGCAGTATCACTACGGAAATAGATAGCCCCATCTTCCTTCTTGGGTTTCCAATGCAGTATCACTACGGAAATAGATAGCCCCATCTTCCTTCCTTCTGGTTAGCAGTCAAATGCCTTAGGCACTATGCTACCAGAGCTCCAATCTATAAAGCATGGTAATTCAGTAGTTGAGAAGAAAAATAAAGATATATATATATTTTGAAAATACACTAAGGAGAAGTAGAAATAAACATAAGAAGAACTCCAATACAGAGTAATTCTGTCATTTTAAATTGGATAGCAAGGAAACCAAAAACAGACAAACCAATCCATTGCTGTTGAGTCAATTCCAACTCATAGTGACCTGATAAGACAGAGTAGAACTGCCCCCATAGGATTTTCAAGACTGTAAATCTTTATGGAAGCAGACTGCCACACCTTTCTCCCTTCAGAGCAACTGGTGAGTTTCAATTGCTAACCTTTAGGTTAGCAGCCAAGTGCCTAACAACTGTGCTACCAGGGTGCCTTGGACAGTGGGGAAGAGATCACAAATCATAGGTGAATCCCTATTGCTATAGATCATGGGAAGAGACTTAGCAAGTTACTGCCTTTTATTGCAGACATGCAGAGAAAAGTCGAAAAATGAAAAATACAGGCATATGGAATATTAATATTCTGTTTCAGTGAATATTACACAATACTTGTTAGAAACTTCAGCTAAACCCTCATAATGTCATAGACATGGGAGTGTGAAAGTGAGGGATCAAAAATATGTAAGTGCATATCCCTTATAAAGCCACCAACCACACTTCCTTGGCATAAAAAGAACTGAAAAATTAATGCATTTTATTACAGTTATTAGGAAATGTTTTTTCTGTAAAGAAGTTATCTGATTTGATATTTTATCACTGTTTGTTTTTAATTAGCAAAAAAAAAAATCCATTTTATTTCCTAATCTTAAATAGTTAAGTTCAAAATCATAGCATAGTTTCTTATTTGACTTCCCTTCCCATATTAATTTAGTCATCTTTCCACTTGAAGTCAGAAGCCAGATGTTGAACTTGCATGCCAGTTTGCTATTACCTTCTGCGGGGAAAAAAATCTGTTTGGTTTTTATTGATTTGACAGATATTTTCTTTCTTGTTGTTTTCTTTGCATTCTTTTCAATACAGTGAATACTCTTATTGTTGTTAGGTGCTGTCAAGTTGTCTCTAACTCATAGCAACCCTATGTAGAACAGAACAAAACACTGCCTAGTCCTGTATCATCCTCACAATCCTTGCTATGCTTGAGCCCATCGTTTCAGCAATTGTGTCAATCCATCTCATTGAGGGCCTTCCCCTTTTTCACTGACCCTCTACTTTACCAAGCATGACAACCTTCTGCAAGGAATAATCCCTTCTGACAACATGACTAAAGTAGGTGGGACAAGTCTGGCCATTCTCATTTCCAAGGAATATTCTGGCTGCACTTTTTTCAGGACAGATTTGTTCATTCTTCTGGCAGTCCATGAAATTTTCAGTATTCTTTACCAACACCACAATTCAAAGGCATTAATTCTTCTTCAGTCTTCCTTATCATTGTCCACCTTCCACATGCATGTGAGGAGATTGAAAATATCGTTGCTTAGGTTAGGCACAGTGAATACAAGGGTAAGCCTTTTTTGAAAAGCACCCACTCAGCCTAGCCATGTGCCAGATGTTCATCTGACTGTGCCTGGCAGGAAGCAGAGGGCATATGCCAATCTTGGCAAACGCTGGCCAGGATTCAAGGGTTGGCTGCTGGCCAGCAGTATCTGCATGATAGAGCTCCAGTGTATCAGTGGCTTCTACTGTGTTCAAAGCAAGGACAATATTTGCAGTTTATGAAGCATTTTGGAAAGTATAAAGTATAAAATCTGCTAGGCATAAAACATTATTGATAACTGCCCTCTAGATGAGGCGAAGAGAAAAAATGGACTTTAAAAATGTTAAGCTGTGCATAAATGGTCATGAATAATTCTATTGTGACTAATGTTTTGCATTCTCTACTTCCTTCCCAGAACACTTGAAGGATAAGTTAGAAGAATACATGGCCCGATTTTCCAAAGTGAGGATTGTTCGTACCAAGAAAAGGGAAGGGCTCATCCGGACTCGACTTTTGGGGGCCTCAATGGCGAGAGGAGAAGTCCTGACATTCCTCGACTCCCACTGCGAGGTTAATGTGAACTGGCTGCCCCCACTCCTTAGTGAGTATACATCATTCACACCAGCACCTGGCAGTGCACCAGGTGGACCAGAAGGGCCTGGAAAATTGAGCTCCATCAGAGGACGTCCAGGGTTGATATCTTCAAAGTTTGCCATTAACCGAGACAGAGACCACTCTGTAGTGTTTAGCGTATGAATCCTGGATTTTGTCTGAACCACTGCTGAGAGCAAAATAGGTCATGAAAACTACCTTAAAGTTAGCATTTTAGATAACCCTGTTGACCATCCAACTTAAGGTTTCAAAAAGTTTCATTTATCTTGAAGAAGCCTTCATATATTTTAGTTATGTTCACTGCTTATTATTTAAAGGAAAAATTAGTCCCCAAGTATTACTTATAACTACAGTAAGATTACAATAATTACATATACACACACAATTTTAAGTTATTATAGGACAGTTGAGAAATGAGGAAAGAATGCTATTCAGCTCCAGGATGCAATTAAAAAATAAGCACCCTGACACTTACTAGGATTTATTATATAAGTTACTTTCTGTTATTTTTCTTTCTACTTCTGGTACCATCCTATACCACTAAATATATAATCTTCCATATTTACATAGAACCACCCCAAAAACTCCTAACTGCTGTCCAGGTGATACATCTTGAATACTCATAATATGCCTAAGAGGAATTAAGAAAAAAAAAAAAAAGAAAGAGAAAAGAAACTGTTACATCATATTTGAACTGGTAGAAAGTGAAAAACTGAATATAACCCAAGCTAGAAAGCATGTGTGTAGCTCAGTTAAAGCTTAACTCACTGCCATCCAGTGGATTTGACTCATGGAGAGCCCCACAGAGTTTCCAAGGCTATAAATCTTTATGGAAGTAGATTGCCTCATCTTCCTCCTTGTGGACCAGCTGCTGGGTTTGAACCACCAACCATCTGGTTAGCAGCTAAATACTTTACCCACTGAGCCACCAGAGCTCACTATAAAGTCATATAACCAAAACAAAACCCAAACTCACTGCCATCAAGTGAATTCTGACTCATAGTGATCCCCTTTGGGATTCCTAGGTGGTAAATCTTTACAGAAATAGATTGCCCAGTCTTCTTTCAGTGGAGTGGCTAATGGATTCAAACCACCAACCTTCTGGTTAGCGTGAAATGCCTTAGACACTGTGCCACCAGTGGATAAGAAATATATAGGTATCCCTCGCTTTTCAAAAGTTCGCCTTACACCACTTCAGTTTTATGAAAGACCTACATTAGTACTATCTTGACTAAGCAAAAAAAAAAATTCTAAGAGACTTTATGCTTTTATGAAAAAAAGGAGAGAAGTGAAACTTGCGTTCATAGCATTCAGCATTTGTTTAGCAGCCAGCTGTTAAAGGGGCAGCATGCACATCCTAAGCAGTGAGAGTGGCATGGTCCAGCTCCTTCCCCACGAACGACACTGAGCATCTTAGCATCAAGCCACTATAGCTTTGAACTGTATCTGTGAACATTATAGCTAGTTATTTTAGGCTTACTGTGTTATTTGATATAATTGGGTAGGCTATTTTTTTGAGGTCCTGGAATGCTGAAAACATTTTCCCATATAAATTAGTAGTAACTGATTCTTCACTCCTTTTCAGCTTATGAAAGTTTTCATAGTAACCTTCTGCTTTCGGATAGTGGAGTGAACCTGTACTGTAAGGAGTGCAATTGGGAATGTGTCTAAAAAGTTCTTGGTGTGCACATATTGTTTTGTTGTTGTTGTTTTGTGCTGTCGAGTCAGACCCGATGACCCCTCCTTGGGTTTCTGAGGCAGTAGCACTACAGAAGTAGATTGCCCAACCTTCCTTCCGAGGAGTGGCTGGTGAGTCTGAACCACCAGCCTTCTGCTTAGCAGTCAAGTGCCTTAGGCACTACACTACTAGAGCTCCCATCAGATTTCACTAAATCAACTTTTATTGTAAATATATCCCTGGGCTGGGGCTCAAGCCAGTAACAAGTCCTTTCACAATAGGTGCCTCAGAAAGAAAGATTTGTTATTGATTACGGGATAGGATTTCAGCTGGAACCAGCAAAGCTCCATTAGTAAAAGATGTGGGGAGAAAATCAATTGAAACTGTGTAATATTTAAAGCAGGAAACAACCAGCAACTAACATCCTGACCACATCACCCAGTACACACCCCTACACAGCTAACTGCCCAGCCATCCTGATCAAGAAGAATGTTTCAGTGCTCAAACAGCCAGAGATTCCTCAAAGCTTTTAATTAAAAGTACCTTGTCCAAGGGCATAGCAATTTAGAGTTTCATCAACAACAGTGAGATTCCTTCAAACTGGATTTGACCTATATGGTATTGCATATTCAAGAAAGTCAGCAAAGGGTCTAATTTATTTATAAACCAAAACAGTCTCTAAATTATCTGGTTATCAAGTCTTTGAATGTTCACTATAAATCTAATAAAAAAAAAAAAGAAGAAGAAGAAGAAGAAGGGAAAAAAAAGCCAAAGAATAGGGAAACCCACTTTTTCTCATTAAAGCATTTCATTTCCTACAGGCCTGATGGATAAGAAATGATTCAATCTTAGGATCACTATCTTTTTTTATTTTCCTGTATCAGTGTCTTGACACATCATCCAAAATGAAAAAACAGGTGGAGTCACACAGTTTCTTGGTTCATTTTTCACCTTGGGATTATACCTGAATTTCAATTTCCCATTAAGAGTCTGTTTGTTTGATCCCTGGAAATTGAAATGTAGGCACAAGCCTTAGATGAAAAATTAGTCATGCTGCTTTCACCCTAAGCTAGTATAGCTGGATGAGAGCTGAAAGGAAATTTGAAGCAAAAGTTGACAGTTAATTTAACAGACTCATTCTCTTTGGGTCACCTTGGGACTCCTTGTTGGTCAAGGATCTTGTAAATCAACCTGATGCTGAATTTGGGAAAAGTCACTGAAACCTTAATTCTAAACCCTCTGCAGAGGTGATAGGAGAAATACTTTGGACACAGAAATGATGATCTCCTCTGTCAGACTTCTATGAGAAAACACCAGTTAGATAAAGATTAAAACCCATTTAAGGCTTGCCCAGGTGAAAACAGATGCTCATAGAGTCCTTGGTGTAGATTAACTTACTTTACGTGATTTTTGGCAAGAACTAGAACCTAGAAAGAGACTGGCACATGGTTTTTGCACTTAATAAATAGTCATTGAAATATGAATGAATGAATGAATGAATGAATAAAGTAGTCCCAGAGTCAGTGTGTCTACTGAATAGTCAAAATTAGATACCCTGGGTTCTCTGACAGGAGCTCTCATCTTGCAGTGCCTAAGGCATTTGACTCCTAAACAGAAGGTTGATAGTTCAAACTCACCAGATGCTCTGAGGAAGGAAGATAGAGCTTGAGGCCTATTGGAGCCATTCTGTCTAATATTACAGCTCTTTCTACATTGTAGCATTCTGCATGCCCCTTTGTTGTTGTGTGCTGTCCAGACAATTTCAACTCATATTGACCCCATGTGAGAAAGCAGAGCCTCCCCATTGGGTTTTCTTGGCCATAATCATTATGGCACCAGATAGGTCTTTGTCCTGAGGAAACACTGTTGTTGTGTTGTTGTTGTTATTTGCCGTCGAGTCGGCCCCAACTCATAGCGACCCCTCCTTGGGTTTCCGAGGCAGTATCACTACGGAAGTAGGATTGCCCAACCTTCCTTCCGAGGAGTGGCTGGCGGGTTTGACTGCCAGCCATCTGGTTAGCAGGCAAGTGTCTTAGCCACTATGCTACCAGAGCTCCCAGAGGAAACACTAGATGGGTTCAAATCGCCAGCCTTTTGGTTAGCAGCCTAGTGCTTAGCCAGAGCTCTATTGCACACCTCTTACCCTGTTTTGCCCACTCCTTATCCTGTTTTAAGGAGCTCTGATGGTGTAGTGGATAACGCATTTGGCTGTGAAGCAGAATGTCAGAGGTTCAAACTCACAGCCACTCCTTGGAAGGAAGATGGGGCAATGAACTTTCGTAAAGATTTACAGCCTCGGAAACACAATTGAGGTTATTATGAGTCAGAATCAACTCAATGGCAGTGAATTTAGTTGTTGGTTTTTTTTTTTTTTTTTTTGGTGTACCCTGTTTCACTTTCATTCTACTATATTTATAACCTAACATACTATATACCATCCCTGGGTGGCACAAGTGGCTAATCAATCAGTTGAAGCATTCTGCTACTAACCTAAAGGTTAGTGGTTTGAACCCACCCAGAGGTGCCTCAGAATGAAGGCCTGGAAATGTGCTTCCAAAATGTCACAGCTTGAAAATTCTATGAAGTGCAGTTCTACTCTGCAATACATAGTGTTACTATGACTCACTATAAGAATCAATTTGACTGCAATTTGTCTGTTAACATAATATAAGGAGCTCTGGTGGGCCAGTGCCTAAGGCATTTGACTGCTAACCAGAAGCACTCTGTGGAAGGAAGACCAGGCAACCTACTTCTGTGAAGATTTACTGCCTTGGAAAGCCAATGCAGATTGCTAAGAATCAGAATCCACTCTGTGGCAGTGGGTTGATTTGATAATTTAGTTATTTATTATGTCCATTGATTTTCTTTTTTTCATTACTGAAGACAGGGCTCTTACGTGATTTTCGGCTCTGGTAGCATAGAGAGTGCCTAAGGCACTTGACTGCTCATCAGAAGGCTGGAGGTTCAAACCCACCAGCCACTCCTCGGAAGGAAGGTTGGGCAATCCTACTTCCGTAGTGATACTGCCTCGGAAACCCAAGGAG